TTGGATTTTCAATGCCTTTTTTTTTTTTTTTTTTTTTTTTGCAGTGAGTGACATATATACTCTATAATGTCAGCTTGCATATTGTTAAAACAACAATTACGATATTATCACATGATAACTATCATTGACCCAGATCTCACTTTTAGTTTTGGATTTTGATTAGAAAAGTGTATTTGCTTTAGGACTCTGCAAACATTGTGATTTATCCATTCTCGATATCAGCTTGCTCGTCCCAGCTGCTGTGTAGAGGCATTTATTGTTATCTAGCGTGGCCTGCATCCAGTGTTGACAGTGTGCAGTTATAGCTTAATTCTTTTTCCTGTTGTGATGGTAAAAAAGAGCGCTTGCATTGTGCTTACCTACACCTGCCCTCCAATGCAACAATACAGGCCGACAATAGATGCTAAAGTCTCCAGGCACGCTGGATAACACCTGTTATGGGAGACAATTATTCCTTCTTTCAGATGGAAATACAAACATCCTTGCGTGATATCCTGAATATGACGTGAAATCTGGGGAGCGCTAAATCAATGTCAGATATAGCAGAGGGCTTTTCACATCCTCCTTGGCCCGTGTATGTTTTGATAGGTTTTTTTTTCAATTTGAAATGAAATAAGCAGAAACGAGAAAACGGCACCTTTATTCGTTTTTTTGTTTCTTCAACTTCAACCAACCCTTTTTTGGTTTATGGATAGAAAAAATTATAAATGACTTCAAAATTTGTTTCCCTCATGTGGGCGGTCATGAGAAATCACCCTTTCTGCTGATTGGTCAACCAAATCTGAACCTGTGACGTCATCAGTTGTTCCTCAGTTCTGTTCAACAAAATAATAGTCCTCTGCTGTGCTGCAGTACCGATTCTTAAACTGTACAGGGCATGTCCTAGATTGGGCTTTCTTTTGTGCACCCTAATGCATTGCACAGACATATCTATTTTTAGCAATAATAATCTGCACCCAGCCTGTTTTATTTAGATCAATTTATTTATTTATTTAGAACAGATCAATGTTCAGTCAAGTGTAAATATGCAGCAGTCATAACTTTTCGTTTAGACAGTACACTCAGTTTAGGACAAGTGATGGTCATTGCAAATACTGTTATGCAAATCGGCTGAGGGTACAGAGGATGGTGAATTAAATTTTTACTGTACTGTAATCATAGCCACGCGAACGTCACGTTTTTCCAGGATTTAAGTTATGAGTGTGCACAGCCTAGACGCTTGAGTAAGATGTTGATAAACAACTGTAATAAATAACTAACTCTTAAAGCTTGTGCCAGTAGTCTGTGGTAGATTACTAGATTAATATTTCTGAAATAAATATGGTACAACATTCCGACAGATTTGTTTTTGTGACATCATTCATTCATTCATTCATTCATTCAAGTCCATTAAATTAATCTTTTCCAAAATAATTTCCATGGAAATTAAGGCACAAAAGGCCTTTAAGTGAAGTAGGAACATGTTAACCTTCACAGACTAGATTGCCAGGTAACTGTCAAGGTTCTGGACTGTCTGTGTGTGTTTTGCTCCCTGTGACCCAGTTTCTCCTCGTGTTAATTGAGTTAATTTGATTATGATTCCATGCACCTGTGTTCCCCTGATTGCCCTGTGTTTATTAGCCCCAGTCTGTCTAGTCTTCCTTTGTCGGTTCTACTTGTTGGATGTTGTGAAATTCCCCCGTCATTCCAAGGATTAAAGACTGTTTATGTACTCCACGTCTCCTTGTTCCTCGTTCCGCGATCCTCCTAGCACAGATCGTTACAGAAGAACCGACCAAAGACAGTAACCTCCTTGTGTTTCCCCTCCGTTTGTTTTCCGTTTTTTTTCCTCAGTGTTTTTTTTCCGTTGTGTTGCTTCTAGGGCTGTGCAAAAAATCGAATTGTGATTTTCATGCGCATCTCGTCAGTAAAGCCGCTCCTGTGATTAGAAGTAAATCTCCAGCACGTATGTTCAGATGGAGCGGCATTTACTACACAGAGCCGTAGTTCACTGACAAGTTACACAAAATCATGTTCAAAATCGCAGGCGATTCATTGCCGATTTTTTACGCGATTTTGTGTAGCGCCTTTACTGACGAGATGCACATGAAAATCACAATTCAATTTTTAGTTGCTTTTATGGATCTCTTTTTCCGCCCGGAATTCCTCCTCCTCCTGCTGGAGCAGGGGGACAAATGTTCCGGCTGTTAGCTAGCACCACCAGCTACCCGGACGACATGCTCTGCTCATTCTATGACACGAGCCTGAACACCGCGAGCTGAGCGCCATCGTCCGAGGATGGTCCTCGAGAGGATTTAGTTGCCTTCGTGGAGTTGACTCTGGCGAGAAACGGATCGCCATCCTACCCTGTGAATGATCTCGTCAGATCCACTCCAGACCCAGTGCCCGCCCAGCCCACCATCTCCACGCGGTGCGGAGCATCAGCCCGAGCCCACCGATGACGGAGAGCCAATTCCCGCCACGATCGACGAGCAAGCGCAATGCCGAGCGACTGAGCGGAGGATCGCCCCGGAAGCACGGAGAGGAGCTCCGCCCCCTGCACCGCGGCTGAGAGTGAGCTGAATATGGCGCGGCGAAAGTGCCAAAACGAAGAGGAGAGGGCTCCAGTCCCCGAATCCAGTCCAGAGCGTCCTCCAGTGCCCGCTCCTAGAAAGCGCCCTCAAGTGCCCGCTCCTCCAGAGTGCCATCCTGTTCCCGTGTTCAGCCTAGAGGGGCCTCCAGATCCAGAGTTTAGCCCTGAATGCCCGGAGGCTCACAAATTCCGGCCCTCCCACTCGCTCCTGCCTCCTCCACCGCTGTCGTCTGGCAGCCCCTCTGCTCGCCCTTAGCCCACCATCAATACGGTGCGAGCTCCACGGTTCTGCCATCCTCCAGCGTCGCCAAGGCTGGAGAATCCCTCACCTCCTTCTCCAGCCTCCGAGGCCCGGACTCTACCGTCACCCGTTGATCCACCGGGC